AAGATAAGTAGAGCAAGTTTCCTGTCCTTCAGGAATTGATTATCTGAAAGGGAAGGCAGGCAAATGGTGCAGTAGAGGGTGATAAGAGTTTTGATATATACACAGACAGGAACAAGGTTGGTGGGTTTGAGTAGACTGTGTGCACATCGAAAGATGAAGCGAGAGCGAGGGGTTAGTGCTAGGGTATGAAGGACTTGGAATATTATGCCAAAGATATGGACTTCATCATGTCAGAATAGGGAGCAGGGAGGCATGTGATGTGATAAGCTTTATTCTTTTAGGGACATCTCTCTGTTAGCGTGTTAGTACTTGGTGTTGAAGGTGCAGCACAGTGTACCAGTAACAGCAAGGAGGCTTACTAGGAGGCAACTTTGAAATGGGTGAAATGTCCACCCTCATCTTTTACATAAAGGTCTTAAAAATTTTCCTGATCAGAAAACATTCTTGAGATCTTATCTCCGGTCAGGGAAACAAAAGATTTGCTCTTTGTGTAATTTGGGGCTCACAGAGGAATGAAACATCCTGAGCTCTGTTTTTAACGTCACTCATTTCTAGAAAGTTTATTATTTATTCTTAAGTGACTGCTCTTCTTGATGCGAGTGGTTTATAAAAATCGTAGCTTTAAAGTAGCCAGATTCTTAGAATACTCAGCATACTGTAGCAGCACAGCAGGCGCTCTAAGAAAAGGCTTGTTCTCACATGCGCATTGAGTAAGAAGAATGTAAGAGGAGCCAGCCCACACTGAAGAGACTGGGGACAGCTTTGGGTAGCCAAGAAGTCTGCATGGAGGCACGGAGGAAAGGAAAAAGAATGGAGGATGAGGGGAGTTCCTCAGGAATGACCTAAGTTCCATTTCCGGAATCCCTGGTGGGTTTGGGCTGGAATGTAGNTACAATTTACAGCTTTTCTTCTATAAAGGTACAGATATAAAGGTAATAACTGCTCAAAGCTGTACCTACTGATAAGCCGAGAGTCTACACCTCATGTGGCTGAAGACTTTCATGTTCAAGAATATGCAGCCACCATTTTTCTTTCATTCAAATCCCTGTAGGCACCATAAGTTTTTATGAAAGTTGCCTTCTACTTTAGCATTTTTCTTCTTAGCGGTTTTCTTTTTTTTCCCCCCTCTAGAAGTTGATCTGTCTTATTTTAGAACACACATTTAAAACAACATAACCAAACATTTTTTCATGACAATACTTAATGAAAATAGGTGATACAAATTTTTCTAACTGGAAAATGAGCCACTAATAGCTTCTAGATAGATATTCTTACACAGATAAGTCTTTCTTTCACCTGATCAGGGAAGTATAGCCCCTCTCTCATAGAGAAAAATCAGACCTAGGCAAAGAGATTGCTAGACAGGCACATCCCCCAGTGCACTCACCCTCTGTAAGGACGAAGTAACTCACCGGACTTGAAAGTGCTAGAAAGCTATCTAATGATAATGTGTTGTTTACATCAGACCACTGAAGTGAGTGTTTATTCCTGCTTTATTTTACTGAGTGACGTAGTCTCATGAATGTGATCTTGAGGAAATTGTCTTATATTACCAAATTTAATACTGTTTACTTCTGGTAAAAACTGGTTGAGCAAAACTCTTCCCATTTTTTTAAATGGCTGAATTTTGCAAAACTGAGCCTAACTATAATATTTATATCTCATCTCAAATGATATATTGGGCTGTCGGAAAAGTCATGACACATTTTTGCAACGAAAAACAGAAAAAATACGTCATGACTTTTCCGACAACCCAATATATTATCATAAGGAATAACATAAATAATAGAATCTAAATAAATATCTGTTTCAATAAAATCTGAGTTGATTAGCAATTATATTGCTTATTACCTATATAGGAACCCCTGGACTTTTCAAACGTGCTGGCAGCCTGCCCACTTCCTTTCCATTTTCCCCAGTGACTTTTTCTTTTAATCGGAAGTATAGCCAAGTATAAAAGATGGATATACATTTCATAATGGTTAATGAATAAGACTGTGAAAGGTGTTTATCCTTAAAATTGGTTGATATAAAAACTTTCTAATGTGAAGGAATGACAAGTTTGTTTATTTATTTCCACAGTGTTCAAAGAGTTACTTAGTAGGACCGAACAAGAGAAATCTGGTGTTCCTCATATTCCCAAAATTGCTGAAAAAAAAAGTAATCGCCATTCAATCCAGGATGTACCAGGAGATATTGAACAGACGTCACAGGAGAAAGGAAATAAGAAAGTAAAAGCAAATACTGTTTCAGGTGGAAGAAACAAAATCAGGAAAATTCTGGATAAAACACGATTTAGTATTTTGCCTCCCAAACTATTTAGGTATGTAATGCCAGTCTCAGTCAAGTGGGCATTTTCCTATTGACTGTAAAATTGTTATTTTGGGGAAGGGAAGTTTGGTCAATTACGTTTTTTATACAACTAACTAACACATCTAAAATCAACAAGCAATCCATAAATAAGAAAGAATAAATTCTGAAAATTCTGAATGCCTTCCCATCTTTTCCATTAAAATTAACATTGCTAGATTATATATTCCATTAGCCTTGTTTTGAATTTTAGAACAGACTGCCCATTGTATCCTATACATTTTTTTTGGTATGTTTTTGGTACAATTTTAGTCTCTTGATCTACATATTTGGACACCTTCAATTTGGGAACATATTCACTGATCCTAGTTTTTGTCTTTTAAATCATCTTCCTCTTGTTGCACTATTTTATTCCCTCTTGAATTCTAAAGCTGACTTTTTAACTCAGTTTCTATTTCCAAAATGAGATGTCACCAAAACTGAGTAAACTTTCAAGATTTTAAATATAAATTAACGTCTATAAAATATTGACAAAATCAATGCACTGAATTGTCATGACTGGATATGACTCTAGTATATGTTATATCTGTGTATATTTTACATTATTTACTTCCTTAAGCAATCACAAAAGTTCTAATTGAATACAGTAGCTAGCACATAGTAGGCAGGCACAATTAATCTGAAAGAAAGAAAGCATATTCAAACAAAACATATTCAAAGAAAATACTTATTTGGTTTCTGACAGTTCTGGCACTGTGCCAGGTGATAATTATAGCCCTGAAAAGAGAGTCCCTACCTCTAAGGAATTCATATCAGGAACCCTTTATTCTCCACACACTCATGATACATTAGGCACAATGTCCAGATATAGAAATATGG